TGAATATAATAAGTTGAGGAAAGAGAAGAGGAATTGGGAGATCCAACTTGAAGAATATAACAATTTGATGCATGAGAAGAAAGATTGAAAGATCCAACTTGAAGAATATAATAAGTTGAGAAATGAAAAGAAAGACTGGGATTATCAGCTTGAACATTATCTGGTGGAGAACAACTTACTTCAAGAAGAAAATTTTGAGCTTCGAAAACAAACAAGCAGCTTGCACAAATTCCCTAGCCACTACTTTGATCGATCAAAGTCGTCTCCTTGCCTTAACAGCTATAAGTTGATTGAAAAGGGATCTATTGGTAAACGTCCTACTTTGAACAGGTTGACTGAGGAAAGCTCCAAGTCAACTAATAAGGCAGCTGCAGGAAAATACTCTTCTTCTCATATTACATGTCATTATTGTGGCAATTCTGGACATAAAGTGTTTGCATGCAATTATGTCACAAGTTATGTTAGATCAAAATATGCTTGGACCTAAACAGTTACATGCATCTCGAATTACAGAATCTACTAACCATGAAGGACCCAAAAAGATTTGGGTACCAAAAATAATTAATTTGTTTTGCAGGAATTCTGAGTCCAGCCATAAAAAGGGATAAATGACATTTGCATAATGGCTGGTCAAGGCACATGCTTAAAGATGCTTCAAAGTTCATACATACTCTATTTATGATGAAGGAATTATTACACGTGATGGTAAAGCTTAAGTGATTGGTATCACTAAAGGTTATTCAAGTTCCTTCGGATGCTTTACAACATGATACGTATCTAGTAATATTTTTAAGTATAATTTGATATGTACAACTACATATTGCTTGAGTCAACTAGCTGCAACATACTGCTATTATGTTTCGTGTTAATCTTATCTTGAATAAAATTCTGTCTGAGCTATGGGAAGGAAGAAACATCAATTTTTGGTTATCTTATTTCCTCTGGTTGCAACTGTCTTGGTAAGACTCTTGACATATTCCTTATTCATTAATACTTACGATTTTATGAAATTCAGAATGTTAGTTGTAGAAAAATCTCAACATGTGTGTTTTTCTTTATACTAATACCTTTCTAAGCAAATTGTGAATAAGGATGGAGAACTTGCAGTGGATAGCTTGCAATAAACTACTAGTGACTAATTTATACTAGTTGAACTAGACAGTCATGAAGAAGCATTAAATGATGAATGTTGGATTCTAGCAATGCAAGATTTGTTGAGCGAAACAGACAGAATCAAAAGTATGGAAATCCAGTACCAAGCAAAGGAGCTGCAATCATGGATATCTAAAGCCTGATAAGTTTGGTAAGGTTGTAAAAATTTTGTATAAAGTTATAGCCCAAGGTTTCACAACAAGAAGGTTTGTTACTTCCTAGAGAGTTATGTTAGAACATCATTTTTCATGTGCATATTACAAAGCTTGTAAACTAATCTTGTATGGATGTTGAAATATCTTTTAAATGGTTTAAAAATTGCATAACACTATTCTCTAGCCTCTCTCTGGAATTGAAAGTTTTTTTTAATCACATTCTTTTGACCAAATCTAGTTATCATTTGAAATAAATTCATGTTTATCATCTGACGATTATTCTTTCCAAAGATGCATTTACAAGAGCATATTTTTTGGTAATACTAACCAAAAGCATGTCAAGCATTTTTAAGCCTTTGGAAGATGAACGGGTTGGAAATGAGTATAATAGAAAATTTACATTTATCTTCACATTTTAAATAATGCAAAGCAAGGAGAAAATTAGTAAGTCCAAGGATCGAATAAAGTACCAAGGTATGACCGACTCTCTATTGCATTTTTATGACATATATTTTGGTATACCTGATCCTATAATATCTCTTTATAGTGCCACAAAGAATCTTTGGTTATGGATTATTTCATGCAAGAACTAATTGCTTCGATCTAGTAGGATATTTTCAGATGCAAACCTTGCAGGCAACAAAGTGGACTGAAATAGAAAAATGGGATGGAGATTTCTAATATTCTCATGTCATGAAAAAATGTCTTGCGACAAAAGATGATGTAAAATATGCCTTGTGGACGATGAATATCAGCTTTCAGATATTTTCTCACTTTGAGGAAAGGAATTAGTATGGTAATGAGATAGAATTGCATATCCTTTCATGGTGAAAATGACATGTTACTCTCTTCACTCTGTTATGCCTATAACATGTGTTTCCAATATATGGCAGTATATATGAGAATCTTGTCAAAATATTTCAAAATGCTTTCAACCTCTAATATTTTTAGTTTGAAATTTTTTCCTCAAATGTTTGGTTGAAATTATCATTTGGCCAACTCAAAGTAACTGAGCATCTGTGTGTACTTTGAATGATTTGATGTGTTAAACTTAGATTTCCATTTAAGCTTTTTAAAAGTGACTATTATTACATGCCCGTATAACTCTTTGGATGCTTAGAACTAAGCAGTCTGGATTAACTATATGCACTTACACTTTCTATGTGAATACTTGTTTGCATATCTCCTATATGTTGGTTCACCCTTTTGATGATGACAAAAGGGGGAAAAAATGAATGGTACAAAACTTTCCTTGCAAATGGTAGAGATAAGGTGTATGAAGGCGGGGGGAGCATTGAGGAACACATAAAGTGAGGGGGAGCATTTACTTGTTCCATTAGTTATACATTGAAGAGACAACTGCAGGGAAGTAACCTGTTTATCTTTAATGTATTTCATTTGTTCTTCCTTTATTAAATTCTCATGTTTTGTACTCAATGGTTTTTCATCATAAAAAAGGGGGAGATTGTTAGGCCCGAGGTTTCACCTATTGATTTTGATGATAACAAACCAATATTAGCTTTAATAAGGAATATTTACTTGTGATAAATTTATTTTGATACAGGTTTATCTGATGAAGAAGGATTTGGTGAAGATCCAAACAGATATAAAAAGAAAGATATTTTAAGATGGAATTACGGGAGAAGTACGGAAAAGAAAATATAGAAGATCTGTAGAAGATTGGTACAAGGAATACAAAAGAGGAAGTGTATGAAATGAAAAAGAGTATTGACCTAGTAAAGGAATATTGGTTGGTTCAAGAAAGAAGGAGTTAGTGTCAATCCAATCAAATATGAAAATAAAGGTTATTTCCAAAGAATTGATCAGCAAGCTTAATGGAAGGAATAACATTTGAAGTTCAAATGTGAAATATTTTACTAAAGTTCTAAAAGATTTTACAAGGAAAATTATGAAAGAATGCCCCCTAATATTTTGGACAAGATCTACTACGTATGAAAGAAAGGAATGTTCTTACTACAATATTATAGTAAGAAATTATATTCTAAGAATAAAGAAGAAAATCACAGAGAATGGAATGAGGTTAAATATGAGACATGATCTAGCACAAAAGGAAAGAAGGTAGCTAATATTCTAAAAAGAATATTCTGCAAGTTCTTACATAGGCAATGAATAAGGAGATGTTGGTGATGAGTTATAAAAGTAATGAGATCAATCATTAAAGAATTATTTCTTAAATAAAGATTCTCTCCTAATGAGATAAAGAAGCTCAAGTCTAAGAATGGTAAAAGGAATCGTCAAAGGTCTGTTATATTATATAGAGGAGATTTGCTATTCAAATATATTTTGAAGCTTTTAATTTATGGAAAGGGAAGATTCAGTCAGAGTTCAAAAGGAAAGAAAAAGTGTCCAAATTCAAAGAGAATCCACTCTTGACTTAAGGAGAAATATATTGTGGCAGTAATATTTCGGAAGGAGGGACAAAGCCAACAATAAAGGAATCATCAGTAATGGCTAGTTTCAGACAATAGCTATAAATACCAGAATGCTCCAGTAAAGAAGCACCAGCTTCGCAGACAACTTTCCTACTCTTTCTACACCTTAGTCAAGCATTGTATTCTTAAGTTTACTAGTGTCATAAAAGATAGAGAGAAAGGGAAAAATACTGAGAGGATGTGTCGTTGTTCGTTTCTTTGGTGAGCGGATGAAAACCAAAGTGTCGTTGTTGGTGAGCGAGTGAAAACCAACCCTTTGCTCGTCGTTGGTGAGAGAGTGAAAACCAACCTTGTCAACGTTGATGATGATCGCTGAAAACCACAAAGGCTGTACTCAATTCAATTTACAAAGAGATCTAAAAGACAACACTCTTGCAACCCAAGAAGACTGGATTAGGATACCACATTGGTTCCGAACCAGTATAAAAATTCCTGGTGTTATTTACTTTATCGCTCTCATATTATATTTTGTTCCTTTACTATTTGTTGTGATTAACACTTGTTTAAATGGAAAGAACTAATAGTTCTGTGCAGGCTGTTTCCGCATCAGTCAACTAAGTCTATACCATAGTCGACCAAATTTTTAATAGGCGTACAATTCACCCTTCCCCTCTTGTACTTTTAAATATGTATATAATAGGCATTGCTCTAAATTTGGAATCAAATAATGTTGGTGTTGTATTAATGGGCGATGGTTTGTTGATACAAGAAGGAAGTTCTGTAAAAGCAACGGGAAGAATTGCTCAGATATTTTTCACACTAAAAACATGTATAAAGTTAGGCATGCCTAACTTACTTGATGTAGATGGAGAGGTAAGGTTTTGTCACCCCCCCCCCCCTCCCCTTTCTTCGTGTGTTCTCATTTTTGGATGCTAATATACAGGTTTGGGGTTATGCCTAAACATCCACCGTGAAGGTGAGATTTAAATAAATAAATAAAAACTATTTTTTGCCGAGGAAAAACGTCAAACAATCAGTACATAAAAATTAAACTCAAACTTTAGTACTACAATCTTTTTGAAGATGCCATTAATTATTAGGAAAATGATACTGTATAGTCGTTCTTAAAATAATAGCCGAAAAATATAAATTATATATATATATATATATATATATATATATAAATTTTATATAATTTCTAGAAGCTAAATATAATCTTTGCCCTTAATTATTATAAAGCTTAAATTTTTGGGTCCATAATTCCATCATCACTCCCACGTTTTAATTTCCCTATCCACTCATCACAACCATCCCCTCATCAACACTGTTATATTATAAGGTTGCACAAACCAAGCAACGCACCATTTTATTCAAACACTTCCTTCACTTCTCACTTCTATTAATTTCCATTTTATTCAGCAAAAAAATGGAACTACCTTCACAAATCAAATGTCATATTGTTGCAATACCTTATCCAGGTAGGGGCCATATTAATCCAATGATGAATTTCTGTAAACTCATAGTCACAAAACATCCCAACATACTCATCACTTTTATTGTAACTGAAGAGTGGTATAGTTTTATTAATTCCGACCCTTTACCAGAAAACATTAAATATGCAACTATACCTAATGTTATTCCTTCCGAAATCGGTCGTGCTAAAGATTTTGCTGGATTTTTCAGAGCTACTTTAACTAAACTAGAAGCTCCTGTTGAGAAATTGATTGATGGGCTTGGGCCGTTGAAACCGAGCGTTATAGTGTACGATACGTACATGAGTTGGGTTACAAGAATTGGGAGTCGGAGGAATATTCCGGTGGCTTCATTTTTTCCGATGTCGGCGACTGTGTTTGACATTTTTCATCACATGGATCTTCTTGCTCAAAATGGGCATCTTAAAGCCAATTTGTCTGGTATTTAATTTCATTTTCATTTTTGTATTATTTTTTTCAAATGAATATTATGTTTGGTTAGGCACGAGTTAAGAAAGAAAGACTTTTGGCACAAATATGGCTATTAAAGCATGTCAAGGAGAGTAAAATGGAAGTTTAAAGTTAAAAAGTTTCAAATATAGCTATAAATGTATCATTCTTTTTTAAAGATAATGTCTGAAAAAAGGAAAAAAGTGTCGAATAAAGTAGAACAAAGGAAGCATTATTTTGCTGCATGACCAGTTATTTGGTCTGGATAGATCTGATTTATTTAGATCTTCTATCGAAGTTTTCAAATATATAAATGTATTATTTTTTGAAACATAATGAAAAAAGAATATAGTGTCGTATAAAGTAAAAAAAGGAAGCATTATTTTGCTTAACGACCACTTATTTGGTCTGAATATATCTGATTAATTTAGATCTTGTATCGAAGTTTTCAAATATATAAATGAATTGTTCTTTTTTAAATATAATTAAAAGAGAAAAAAGTGTTGTATAAAGTGGAACAAAGGAAGCATTCGTTTAGTGGAAGCAGCCACTAATGCTTGTATTAGGGTAGGCTGTCTACATCACACCTCTTGGGGTACGACCCTTTCCCGACCATACATTAACACGGGATACCTTGTGCACCGGCGTTAGCCAACAATGAGGTTAATTTGCCTTCTTAATTGCAATATGTCCTCCAAGAGAAAGCTACTGATTAACCATTTCTATTTACATATTTATAAATCTACATGATTATCATTATTCATGTACAGGAAAACTGCAAGAGCAGGTTGATTATATTCCTGGAATTCCTTTGATTCGCGTTTTAGATCTTCCTACACTATTTCATGGGAAGGGGCAAGAATTATTGGATGTAACAATGCAGATCTTCTCTACAGTGTCTAAAGCACAATATCTTTTGTTCACTTCAGTCTATGGGCTCGAATCTTCTGTTATTGATGCTCTAAAACAAAAATTTACTATCCCTGTCTATCCAATTGGTCCAGCCATACCTTACTTCACTAGCGAAAAAGATCCTTCCTCGACTACTTCTGTCGATGAACCAGAGTATATTAAGTGGTTAAATGCTCAACCAAATGATTCTGTGTTGTACATATCACAAGGGAGTTTCCTCTCTGTGTCGCGTACTGAACTGGATGAAATCGTGGCAGGTGTGCACGATAGTGGTGTTCGATTCTTTTGGGTGGCACGTGATGAAACTGTTCAATTTCAGAATAATGGATGTAGCGAAGGGCTGGTTGTGCCTTGGTGTGACCAATTGAAGGTGTTGTCACATCCTTCTATTGGTGGATTTTGGTCGCACTGTGGATGGAATTCGACTAAAGAAGCAGCATTTTCAGGTCTTCCGATGCTGACTTTTCCAATATTTTGGGATCAACAGACTAACAGTAAGCAAATTGTTGAAGACTGGAAAATTGGTTATAGGGTGAAAAAAGATGATAAATGTTCGATAACAAGGGGAGAGATCTCTAGCCTGTTGAAGTGGTTTATGGATTCTGGAAATGATGAAGTGATGGAAACGAGGCGAAGTGCGAAAGAAATACAGAAAATATGTCAATGTTCCACTGTAAATGGTGGATCTTCTGAAATTAACATTGATGCTTTCGTCAAGGATGTTTCATCCCATAAGTTTCATTGATGTGGTGTAATGTTAAACTTGTAAGTGAACATAATACTGAACTTATGTTCAGAAGATTATTGTAAGAAATTATTGCAGAATGCAGTTCTGCCCTTGAAGTAGGATTGTCAGATAAATGTAGTCTCAACTTCGATTTAGTTCAGCTGTTTGGCTAAGGAACTTGCCTTTCAAAGCTACTGATGGAGTTTATTTTCTCTGTTTTGTGCAGTGATTCTTTCTCTTCTAAAATATCCGAAATCATTTGGTTTGTGTATCGTAGAATGAATTAGAATAGATATAGGGAATCTTTTTTTACTAGTTACTTTTAATGCATGCCCGTTGCCAAGCTTTTTGGTTGCTCCAAGCCGAAGCTTAGAAATCTAACCACCTACCACACTAGTGATTAAAACGAAGGAGTGCCAACGGTAAAGTTTTTTTCGTGTAATCTATAGATCACGGGTCCGAGCCATGAAAGCAGCCACTAATGCTTGCATTAAGGTAGACTGTCTACATCACATCACACCCTTGGGATGCTATAGGAACCCATATTGTATTGAAATGGATAATGGGAATCACATATACAATTATAAGAGTTCATCTTCAAACTATTACAAATACTTCAAACAAGTAACCAAATCTTCCAAGGGAAGAAGAAATAAAAAAAATTTAAAAAAAAAAAGGGAGAAGGGAGGGAGGTTCCAGATCTATCCTCTAAGAAACTAAAGGAAGTAAAATAAACCAAGTTCATAGCATAAGCCTCGTAGAATATTTCCTATTGTATATATAGGTATTCTCCATCTAACCCGGGTCCCAAATGTAATTCATTAAGTTTCCAAATGCGCCCTCAACTTGGTCTTATGGTCATTTTCATTAGAGCTGTAAATATGGGCGGGGCCGGGCTACAGGCCCAGCCCACATGGGCTTTGCAATTGACGGGTTGGGTTGGGCTAGCCCACCATTTTTATGGGCCTTATAATGGTAAGCCCACCCAGCCCTATGTGGGCTGCGGGCCCCCACGGGCCGGCCCAGCCTCAGTCATGCCTCACAGGCCATGGGCTTACTCGGACCGGACTTAAAAGCCACGTTTTTAAATGGGCTCCAAAAATTCTAACCTAACCCTACTAAATCAAGGGTTGGGCTGGGCTGGCCTAACGGGCCAAGCCCATATTGACGGCTCTAATTTTCATTCATAACAGATGCGGTCTTTCTCCGGGACATGTGTGAACATAATATTGCATTTATGTTCATGAGATTATTTGTAGGAAGTATTGCAGAATCCAGTTCTGCCCTTTAAGTCGGATTATCAGATAATGTATTCTCAACTTTGATTTAGCTCAGCTCTTTGGCCAAGGAGCTTCCTTTTCAAAGCTATTGAAGTTATTCAGTGAGGATTAATAGACTACTACATTTCTAAGATATATTTTGGTCTCTATTCTAACTTATAAGCATCCTCAATGGCTCTTGATTTTCACATTGTGCTACACTAGTGCGAATAGAAACCAACCTCTTCCCTTGTGTTTCTTTTCTCTGTTTAATGCGGCAATTCTTTTTCTTCTCAATATCTGAGAATTGAGATAATTAGTTTGTGTTTGTATATAGAATGAAATTATTAGAGTAGATAAAGGGAATCTGCTTTTAGTTATTATTTCCTATTAGATATGTTAGAGGGGATAACAACTGGAGCTCTTCATTCACTTCCAAATACAATGATACAACAATGTTTATAATACAATACAGTAATAGTATTCTAGATACTTTATACGATAGTATATGCCCAATATTGGAGGAGTCCTAACTACCGGAGGCTGCTGGTGATCCTTTATACGATAGGATATGTCCAAAAGCCCCTGGCAAATAAAAGGTGGGTCTTTCACCTTGAGTTTGTCCCTTAAAAATTGAAATCTCGCAGTGGTAGACAATGGCTTCGTGAGTACATCAGCTACTTGATCTTCCAAAGAGTGAAACTGAATTAGTAAGTTACGTCTAGCAACTGTCTCTTACAAAATGAAAATCGATCTCTACATGCTTGGTACGAGAGTGAAAAATGGGATTAATGGATAGGTACGCAGCACCTATATTGTCGCACCAGAGAATAGGAGCACGAGAGAGCTGGATACCTAGCTCAAACATCAGTGATTGAATCCATGTCAGTTCAGCAACAGCATCTACCAATGCTTTGTACTCAGACTCCGTAGATGATCTAGCCAATGTCCGTTGTTTCTTTGAGGACTAGGAGATTAATTTTGGACCAAAGTACATAGCATAACCACCTGTAGACTTGCGATCATCAATCCTGCCAGCCCATTCAGAGTCATCGAATGCCTGTAACCGAAGATTAGAAGCTTTTGAAATAAAAAAATGCCATCAATTTAGTGTGCTGAAGATAACGAAGAATGCACTTTACAGCAACCCATTGATTTATCGATGGATGATGCATGTACTGACACACTTTGTTCACCACAAAGGATATGTCGGGTCTTGTAAGGGCGAGATATTGAAGAGCACCAACTACCTATCTATGAAGACTCGGGTCAACGAAGGCGGAGTTGTCACCCTTATACAGCTTCATATTGGTTGCCATAGGAGTGCTGAGAGGTTTGCAATGAAGCATACCAGCCCTGGTGAGGATGCCATGAATATACTGGGACTGGGAGAGCCAAATGCCAGTGTTGTCGCGATGCACCTGAACACCAAGAAAATAGTGAAGTAGACCGAGGTCTCTTATGGAGAAGGCACTGCCAAGAGCTCGAACAAATGAATCAATGAAGGAAATGTTGTTTCCTGTGAGTACAATGTCATCTACATAAACCAAGAGGTAAGCAACGACATCTCCATGATTGTAGATGGATAAAGAAACGTCAGTTTTAGATGTTGTAAAACCAAATGTGAAGAGAAACTGATGAAGTTTATTGTACCAAACCGTTGGTGCTTGCTTAAGACCATAAAGAGATTTGTGAAGCTTGCAAACATGAGTAGGGAATTGGGGATGAACAAAACCTGGGGGTTGAGCCATGTAGACATCCTCTTGAAGCTCACCATGTAGAAATGCATTTAGAATATCCAATTGACGCAATGGCTATCCATAAATAGCTGCCAGCGATAGGATGATGTGGATGGTGGTTGTAACGACCCGGCCGGTTGTTTTATGAGTTTCAGTCCCATTCTCCCCATTTCTGCTTCCTTGCGTGTTGATCAGTTGTATTTGATCATATCGTGTTGGTTGTGTTGTGTTTTGAGTGGTCTTAGAGTGGAATGAGACACTTAATCTCTTAAGTTGGTGATTTAGTTGGTGATTTAGTTGGTAAAGTCAACCGGAAGTTGACTTGTGGGTAAATGATCTCGGAATTGGGTTTTAATGGTTCCGATAGCTTCGTTAGGTGATTTGGGACTTAGGAGCGTGATCGGAATGTAATTTGAAGGTCCGTGGTAGATTTAGGCTTGAATTGGCGAAATTAGAATTTTGGCGTTTTTCGGTCGGCAGTGGAAATCTTGATATCGGGGTCGGATTGGATTTCCGGAAATTGGAGTAGGTCTGTTGTGTCATTTTTGACGTGTGTGCAAAATTTCAGGTCATTCGGAGGAGGTTTGATAGGTTTTTACATCATTTGCGAAATTCGGAAGTTTTGGAATCCTTATGCTTGAATCCGAGGGTGATTTGATGTTTTGATGTTGTTTTGAGTGTTCCGAAGGTTGGATCAAGTTTGAATAGTGGTACGTGACTTATTGGCATGTTTGGTTGAGGTTCCGAGGGCCTCGGGATGGATTTGAGTGGTTGTCGGAAGGTTTAGAATTGAATTGGAGTTGCAGATTTTGCTGCTTCTATTGTTTCCGCACTTGCGGATTGGGGACCGCAGGTGCGATGATCACAGAAGTGGGATGAGACCGCAGGTGCGGAGGTTGGTTGGTTGGGGATGCATCGCAGATGCGGAAGGCGAGTCGCACACGCGAGCCCGCTGGTGCGGTGGATTAATCGCAGGTGCGGAAAGGGGGATTTAAGTGAAGTCTACAAATGCAAACGTTTGGTCGCAGGTGCTGGGGACGCAGGTGCGGTATTGGGACCGCAGATGCGGAATCCCTGGGCAGAACATATAAGCTCTTGCCTTTGCGAAATTTGGTCATTTTTCCACCATTTGTGTTCGAACTTGGAGCTTTTTGAGAGGAATTGAAGAGGGATTCGAGGGGTGACACTTGGAGGTAAGGTTTTTGAACTCAATACTCAATTCTATGGTGATTTCTAACTGATTAGACATAAAAGTAATGGGATTTAAGGGCTAAAATTGGGAAATTAGGGCTTGTAATTGGAGAGCCTTGAGTGGGGATTTGAGGGGCCATTTGAGGTCTGATTTCGATGTTCTTGGTATGTATAGACTCGTGGGAGGATAAGGATTCTAGTGATGTGATTTTTATCGAATTTCGAGATGTGGGTCGGGGGTCGGGTTTGGCCAATTTCGGGATTTTTGATGTAATTTGATTATTTTCGCATGGGTTTTGTTCCTTTGGCATATATTGATGGCATGAATATGATTTTGGTTAGCTTTGGAGCATTTGGAGGCCGAGTCGAGAGGCAAATGCATCGCGGGTTAGAGTTTGGACCAGCTTGAGGTAAGTAACGATTGTAAATGTTGTCCTTAGGGTATGAAACCCCAGATTTCACATCGTGGTACTATTTTGAGGTGACGCACACGCCATATGACGGGTGTGAGGGGCGTGCACCGTTGGGGATTGTGACTTGGTCCGTCCCGTAGCGACTAATGAGTTGCATATTTGACTGAAACTACTTGATATTACCTTATGTTAGAACATATTACTATGTGTTTGGGCTGAATGTCATATTTGGGCCTCGTGCCAACTGTTTGAACCCTTAGGGGCTTTCTTTACTGAAATTCCTCAGTGTTTTGGTTTCATAATTGTACTCAGCCATGCTATATTTTTACTGATTTCATAACTCAGTCGTATTTATACTGCTTTAATGCATAAATGATATTTTCGGGCTGAGCACCCTGTTTTACTGTTAGCCCGGGTAGCTTGAGAGATTTCTGACTGAGTAAGGCCGAGGGCCTGTGTTGTGAGGATATCATGGGATCGGGCTACGCACCGCAGTAGGTTGTACTATTTTGTGATATATGAGAGGCTGAGGGCCTGATTTATTATGCCACGAGATGGCTTATGATTGTGCTTGGGCTGTAGAAGCCCCTCAGGAGTCTATACACCCCCAGTGAGCGCGGGTA